ATATATATATATATATATATATATATATATATATATATATATATATAAGCCTAATGTTATATATATGTATATATATAACGTTAGTGAAACTGAAATATGGACTAGAATTTGAATATTTTGCGCGGTACTTGGAACGGTTTTTCTCAGCCTCATATACATTATATATACCTGATTGAAAACTGTACGGATTGCTGGGGAAGTGACAATAATTCAAATTGTTTATGAATACGAATTGTGTGGGGAGAACGCGTACACCAAGCGAGTCAGTATGTGTTGAAGCCACATGCAACAGTCACTGAAATCTGATTTCTTTCGCAATTATGTATCTCCTCTCACCATGTGTTTAATATCAAAAACTGTACTGTGTTTAACCAATTGACGTAGCACCGAAAACAAGTTACGTGTTTACCTTGTGATCTCAACTCCATTTAATCAGAAATATTTTTGCAACAATCCCGAACTGATGATGAAACTGAAAGCACAATAGAGAACACGGTAGATGCACAATACAGGGGTCGTTATTCTGAATAGTTTTTTTTAACCAATTTCTTGTAGATGCTGAATGGACCTAATCTGGCGTTCATGAAACGCTTCCTCCTATGGGAATTCAGCTACTTTTGTGACCGGCAGCAGGTTCGTTTCACGATATTGAGTTAGGATGTGCAGACAGTTCATAATGTCTACGGGTGCTCGACACGCTCTGTGACAGAATGAACGAATGGTCAGAATATGATTAGCGAGCAAGGCCTTGGAGTGACAGCACGTGAAGGGTGGCCGTAGCAGTGCATAAGGAATCGGGCTAAACGTACCGTGTGTGAAAATCCACTCATCAGAACACTGTTACGGGCCAATTCACACATATCGGTCGGTGTCAGTTTCCAAACTTGCGTTGCGATGCTGTATTCCTCGATCAAGGGCTCTTTGGTGAAGTGAAATTGGAGCGGGTCATCAGTGCTCAAACTGACATTCAGTCCGCGAGATAAGTAGTTGTTCAACGGATTTCGATGATAGTCCAAGAACAATGAGTTGTTGCTTAGTGGAGACATGGCAATGCCAATCTGTTCGGAAAGAACAACAAGCAAGTCTTTATCTTTTTGAAAGAGCAGAAAAACGTAATGGATTGTGTTAACCGTGGCACATCTATTAGAATTTGATCGTGCAAGGAAATTTTTATTTGAAAGTTACTGATATTTTGGTCTAGGCGTTACATGCCGACCAGCAGATAGTATCAATCGACTAACTTCTAACTTACTCACTAACTCACTCCATATAACCTGGGACAGACTACGTAAGCATCGATTGTCGAACACTGCTAAACGACGGGTGTCTTCTACCTGCAAATCCAAGGTCTCACAACCGTAAAGTAGAACTGATCGTACGGTGGTGCAGTATACGCGACTTTTAAATCTTTAGTGACACGTCACGTCGCCGCTACAGGTGTTTTAGTCCTGCGTATACTCCTCGAGCCCTGAGAATGCGGGCGGTTATCTCCTTCAATGCGCTACCGTTGTTGGTCACGCAGCTACCTAAGTACGAGAAGCGGTCAACTGCAGCTAATTCTAAACCGTTAGTTTCAGAACAGAACTCGGTGACACCCAGTCTTGCAGCATTACTTTGCTCGTTGCAGGTGCAAAGCTTATGCCGAACGGAGAGACAGAACTTGCTAATCTGTCAAGTGCTCTTTGTGCACCCCCCCCCCATATATTCGAACAAGCAAACGATGTCGTCAGCGTACTCCAAATCGTACAGCTTTTCCGCAGCTCCCCATTTAATAACTACATTTTCGAGACCATTTAATGTGTTCTCCACTATTTCTTTTATGACGAAATTGAACAATGGCAAAAGAGGACACCCTTGAAGAACACCGCTGCTGGTTTCGAACGACCTACTCAGCTCGCCGTAGACCCTTACGCTACTAGAGGTATGTGAGTACGGTGAACTCAGTATGTTCACATGCATCTGCGGCATTCCTTTGCGAAGGAGTGAACCCATAAGGGATTCTGAGTCGAAGGCTCCTTTTAGGTCAAGGAAAATAATATCCTACGGCGACATCTCGTGTCACTAAAGATTTAAAAGTCGCGTATACTGCACCACCGTACGATCAGTTCTACTTTACGGTTGTGAGACCTTGGATTTGCAGGTAGAAGACACCCGTCGTTTAGCAGTGTTCGACAATCGATGCTTACGTAGTCTGTCCCAGGTTATATGGAGTGAGCGGGTTAGTAAGTTAGAAGTAAGTCGTCGGGTGTTTGGGAAAACATCAAACCAGAACTCGCTATCTCATCGAATCTAGCTCAATAGGCTTCGTTGGTTAGGACAGATTTGCGTATGTCCGACGGTCGCCTACCGCAGCGCGCTCTGTTTGCAGTGGCTGTTACAGGCTGGAGAAAGCCATGTGGAGGCCAGAAGATGACGTGAAGACGAGGCATGAAGAAATGCACAGAGCGATTAGGTAGAGTATGTGTCTCTCGTCTTCCAGGTTGGGATCCAAAAGACTTCGAAACCGCATGGTTGGAGAGAGTGATGGTCATGGCCGCTAACCGACAGCAATGGCGATCATATTGCCACTTCATGTCAGACCAGAATGCTTGAAATAGTATGCAGGCTCGGTTGAACTGTTCACTGGGTTTGGTGACCGTAGAGGTTCGCTTTTTTTCCCGTCCCTAAAAATAGGTCCAGTCTCCGCCCTCCTTACACATTATCACTTTCCTTGTATGCATTATGAGTTTGGCAGCGAGCAGTGAAGTTCGCTTCACTGTATTACGCTGTGCAATGATGATGACGATGATAA